TGCATGGAGCCGACGTCCTCCAGGTTGGCTACAACCTTCATGCACCGGACCAGCCTTTTCTTCCAGACTTTCAGGATTGATATCCGGAGAAATGAAACAATGAAATGAGGTCAGTCTCTCCTCTTAACCGTATTACTCTCCACAAAAAAGAGCACTTGGCTGAGAATGTAGAACTTACAAATCCTGATCGACCCCCCCTCCCCCGCCAGCTTTGCCCATGACAGACCCCACAGGATATGTTCTTTCTCCTTGATGCCTGCTTTCAAGAATGCCTCCCTAACTTGCCTAAAAGCTCCCTGAGGGTAGGGTAAGGCTATGTATCCGCTTCTTTATCTCTCATCTGCTTACAACATGGGAGGGTGACAGAATGGTCTCAGTCAGGGGTCCACATCAACCAACAACCCCCGGGGGAACCAGCCTCCGAATGGCTAAAACTTTTCCTCCTGCAACACTTGCTTCTGCAAAAGGGCACATATAGGCTTCTTGTTTGCTGTATTGTAACTCCTCCCTCTGCCTAAAGAATTTTATCTGTGTTGAGACTAAGGATGAAGGTTAAAGAATAAGGAAGTTTTTTTTTTTTTTTGAGGAAGATTAGCCCTGAGCTAACTACTGCCAATCCTCCTCTTTTTGCTGAGGAAGGCTGGCCCTGAGCTAACATCCATGCCCATCTTCCTCTACTTTATATGTGGGATGCCTACCACAGCATGGCTTGCAAAGCAATGCCATGTCCGCACCCGGGATCTGAACTGGTGAACCCTGGGCTGCCAAAGCAGAGGGTGTGCACTTAACCGCTGAGCCACCGGGCAGGCCCCAGGAAGTTGTTTTGCTTGTGTTTCAGAACTAGCATTCACTCTGTCGAGAACCCCAAGGACCACCCACTCGTGCCTGACACTCTTGATTCTTACTAACAAAAGTCACCACCCATCCTCCCTCCCTTAAGGAAAATGCACAGGGTTATGGAAACAGAACTTCCTGGCTGATAGGAGATAATGTAATTTTAATTGATTGATGAACTACTCACTTAATATTGGATTAAAGGAAGAGGCTAACATGAAACAATTTCTTCTTAGTGTTCACTTCTATCAAGAAATGGAGTAGTCTATATTGCACAATACTGCAAAGTTACAGAAACTTGCTTTCTTTGGAAAGCGAGGATTCCTATCAGCACTTTCTGTCCCAACCCCGTGGACAAATCAAAAGGAGCAGTGTCCACTGACTGATGTCTTGAGAAGTCGTTAGGAGCCCAGACTCTAGTAAATGATGCCTGAATTTGAGTCCCTGCCTGTCCCTGACTGGCCGTCTGATCCCGAAGCCTTGGCTTTCTCAAATGTAAAGTGGGGCTAACAATACCCTCTGCGGAGGGGGTGCTGTGAGGACGAGAGCGTTAATGCCTGTAAAATGCTGCAGGCACACAGCGAGCGCTCCAGAAGTTGTAGCATTTCTCATTAGCCCCATGTACCCTGCATTGTGCATTCAGTTCCGCAATAACCCCAAGAAGTTGCTGTTATCACCCCCATTTTACAGAAGAAGAAACTGAGGCTGAGAGAGGTTTAGAAACTTGTCCAAGCACGGAAAGTAAAAGCGGCAAGACTCAAAGCCAGGCCCGTGTGATGCTGAGCTGTGCACTTCCTGCCCCACCACACGGCTTCCCGGATGACCACACACACAGACACACACTCACTCAGACTACAGAACTATGTCACATCAGAGCTGGAAAGACACGCTCATGACTGGAACACAGACTGTGAACGGCACTATCTAAGGATTCCAAATGTCATGACATTCCAAACTGTCCGCTTTTTGAGTTCAAGGACCATGTTCCGTATCTTCCCCAGAGAGAACAGCACAGAATTCTTCACATACAATAGGCCCTCAATTAACACTCACTGAATTTACATGGAAATTCACAGAACACCATGGAACCGTGTCCTGGTTCAGAAAACACGATCCAGCAATCCAGATAAACCATGGATTCCCTAGAGCTTTGAAAACCTTGCCTAACATAGCATGTGTTTTCCGAGACAACGAGAGTTTTGATCTGAGGCTAAGCATTTCTAATCTCATCAAAAATACCAGGTGAGTGAAAATTCACATCAGGCCTCCAGGTGGGATTCGGGCATGGGCCGCCCATGTTGCTGCTAGAAAACCTGCCAAATGAGAGGCTTTGAAACTGATACCATCTTAGGATTGTGTTTATTTTCTCCTTGTTTTTCCCAACTATCATGAAGCATACTGCATTATTGCTGCTATTTTGGCGAGGAGGTCTGGGTATCACCAAACATTCTAAGCCCGTGTCCCCATCTGAGGACGAGAGGGGAGTGAGGGCCAGCAGCATCTGTGCAGGGAGCTTTCCAGGTAGGTAGTTTGCAGGTGTGAGTGCCCACGGCTCATAGCAAAGAGGGGTGGGAATGAATGGAAAGAAGCTGCACACAATCTGATTTATTTCTAAGAACTTTTAGCCAAGATTTTATTGAATGTCTATATTTGGTGATTCTGAGTATGGGAGAGCCCGAACATGCATTTTCTCTCTTCTTGGTTTTGAGGTAAGTAGTGCAACAGAGAGGCAGGGCTGGGCCTGGGGGTGGGGAAGATATTAAAGATGATGATGGCGAAAGCAGACTCCTGTGGGCTTCAGAGTCACATCAGGACACAGCTCGCAGCCTGCGCCCGCCAGACAGTGAATCAGTTCTCATATGAGGAGATTCGCTGTGGTCCGGGGAATAAGAACAGAGTCTAAGGTTTAGGAAGCCTGGGTTGAACTTCCACTCCTGCCACTTAATAGAGCTTTGTGATGTTTGACAAGCTACTTAACCTTGTTGAGCCTTAGGGTCCTCATCTGTAAAAACGGAATAACAATTATATACATCTCAAAGGAACGTGGAGGAGATGAATGAGATAATGCATTGAAAAGTACTTAGCCTGGTACTGAGCGCCCTCAAAGGATGAGGAACCACTCAGTGATGCTGGCCACCACTGCTGATCTTTTCATTATTGCTAACGAGAATACCTTGCAAATGTACTATTGTAAAGTGTCCTGCATTTTCACATACATTAATTATTAAAATTAAAAATATAACATTTTAAATAACTAAACAAATAATTTTAATTAATAACATGTATTTTTATAAATATAAATATTATTAATATTAATAATTTAAAAAAAGAGCTTCTTGCTGTATTTTGTGGCTGATTCCCAAAATACCCTGAGAGGAGGGCAGGACGGAAGTTAGTCCGCTCATGTTGCAGGTGAGAAGGTGGAGGCTGAGAGAGGTGGAGGGGTTTGCTGGAATTCATCAACCTGGGCAGGGCCAGCGAGGAATGCGGCTCAGATCCCTGCCACCAGCGCTCTATCCACACTACCTGGGGGGAAACCAAGAGGCGAAACATCCCAGAGGGAAGAACTGGAAGCCAGCCTGCCTGTGATAGGGCCGGAGGGTTCTCCCCCAGGCCTGTCTGGTCTATTCATTTACGTGTTGTCGGGACCACGTGGATCTTGCCACCCCTCTTATGTTGGGGCCTGAGGTTTAAAAAGCACTGCCGTGGGGCACCGTCGTTCCCGATGCCAAGAGAAGGGCCCGCTACTTCAGAATAAGCTGGGAACTACTGGTACTGTCGTTTGTTTAAATTTTTACTACAGAAAGTTTCCAGACACATGGAACAGTAGAGAGAAGGGAACGAAGAACTCCCAGTGACGATCTTCCAGCTTCAACAACCCTCGCTCCAAGCTAACCCTGTTCCCGCTACACCTCTGGCCATTTCCCCTGCTCCCTGGCTGTTTTAAGGAACTACTTGGGGAATTAACAACCACACAGACTCCCCCTGTGCCCCACAGATGCAGGTCTGGAGTGGCTGGGGATTTGTTGTTCCCATGGCTGTCCCCCACCTCCAGGCAACGTGGAAGGACAGACACTGCCGAAGCCTCTGAACTAGGGGACCTCTGAGGGCTCCATGTGGAGGATTCTGTACGTGACCACCAGGCAGTGAGTTCTGTGAAGGGAAGTGGGCAAACCCTTCAGCCATGCAGGAGAAGGAGAGGCTGTCACCGGGGATCCAGGGACTTGCCACGCACACGCGGTGGCAGGAGCAGACGGTAGTGAGATGGGGGAAGGCGGCTAGCTCTCGGGCCTGCGTGAAGGCATTCCTGAGAGCAGACACTCGTGTTGCCACAGCACTCTATTGCAACCTCACGATCTGTAGGTGCCGACCCGTCATCTCCGTTCGCCTGCGCTCTCCTCGGGGGCGAGCAGTCTCTCACTTGTCCTTATTTCTCCAGAGCCTAGCACCGTAACTGCCAAATTGGGCAAATCAGTGAAACTGATAACATTCAACTGGTCTTTACTGTCAAAATATCAACTTTATGACTCCCCTTCATAGACAGGAGGTATTCAATAAACGTCCAGTGAAGGAACCAGCACGGACAGGGCTGTGACAGCTCTGACACGCCAGCTTCCAAGCTAGTATTTCTGGTCAACACAACAACAGTGCAAGGTGGTCATGGTGGCTCCATGTCCAGATGAGGGAGCTGAGGGAATGTGTACAGAAGTGCTTGGCACGGTGATGATGACTATCATGCTCCATGTGTGGTAATGATTATTACTATTATTGCCCAAAGCCAGACAGCGCCCCAGCAGCAGAGCCAGGACGTGCACCCCGGCCTTCCTGGCCCCACTCAGGCTGCCCTGCCAAGCAGTGTCTGTCCTGGAAAAGCAGTAACCGAGGCCTCTGAAAGGAGACCTGAGGCAACAGGGTTAACAGATGAAGGTGTTAAAAGTCTAAACCACTGGGCAAGACCCAGACAGTGAGTAATTTCAGGGTAAGGACCAAAACGGAGGGAGTTGGTCTACATTATTTTAGTAGAGCACCGCGGAATGTCCGCGAGCGTGGTGCTGAGGGCATGTCCCCAGCTGCCTGCCTTGCTGGTTCTTTCATCTGCACTGAGTGAGGACAAGCAAGGGTCAGAGTGGCAGACACACGGCACAGGGAAGACGCCTCCTTCTTACCTCTTTGCCCTGTCTTTCTCATCTTCATCCATTAGATTTTCTATGCAGTTTTTCCTGCAAAAAAGAACAGGCAATTACCATCTACTTCTAGATTTTTCTTACAGGTCTTTCTAGTTGTCATCATTTTGGTTTTATCTAATCCACACGACTTAGCCCAGAAGTTCTCAAACTTCTTGGTTCCAGCAACCTTTTACATGCTCCAAAATTTATTGAGGACTCCGAAGAGCTCTTATATACGTTGGTTAAAACTGAGAAATCTTAAATACGCAAGCACTCATTCCATTAGGTGTCAGAGCGATGAAGTCATCAAATGTCAAGGAACTTCTGGAAAAGTCTACCGTACGCTCATGAGAGTAAATGTTATTAGGAAAATTGTTTTCACCTCGAGGGACGCCCCCCCCACCCCAGATCTCAAAGATCACACTTTGAGAACTGCTGTCTAGACCCGGCTCAACGAAGCATCTGTTTATCTCAAGCCTTAAACCTGCAATCTGCCTATGACATTCTAAAGGAGAGAATTTATTTGTTTCTCTGTTCATTCAATGACACAAGCTCCTCTTACATACAGCCTGGAGGGATCGGGGCCTCAAAGGAGTGTAATCCGCCACGCTTCCTTTAAGGCACTTACACTTCCCTAGATAGACAAGGCACACAGATGCGAAAAATGAGGTAACAATCCAGGAATGTTCTCGCAGCCTGAAGTCATCGGAGACTACCTCAGCGCCTGGAGCCTTGACTGTCCCAGGACGCTTGCTCGATGCCTTTCAGGCCCACAGATCCGGTTTCGTCTTCTGCCACACGCAGGCCTGTGATCCTTCACCTCCCAGAACGGCAGACTCTTTCCTTCATTCACACATTTCCCAGAGTCCCCCCTGTCTGGAGTGCTCCCTCTCCAGCCAGTGCTCCATGGAGAAACACTTTCAAGGTGTCTGTGAGGCAAGAGCCTGTGGAGGGCACTGGAGGCAGAAGGCGCAGTGGCTGAGAGGGCAGAGTGTGACTGAGATAGGAGTGGGGACCACGGAGAAGCTGAATCACCACTGCCCACACGCCTCTGTTCTCAAAACAGAGGGTCTGAAGTCAGAACCCTAAAACCAACACTTTGCAAATGGACTAACATTTACTCTTGAAATTTAAAGTTTTAGATAATTTTTTTTTTTTTTTTGGTGAGGAAGATTAGCCCTGAGCTAACTTCTGTGCCAATCTTTCTCCATTTTGTATGAGGGATGCCGCCACAGCATGGCTGACAAGTGTGTAGGTCCATGCCCGGGATTTGACCTGAGATCCCAGGCACTGTAGTGGAGTGCGCCAAACTTAACCACTGTGGCACGGAGCTCACTTGTAGATAAAAGTTTTTAATGGGGCAAACGAATCTTTCTCTGAGATAATTTAGTTTTGTGATTTGGGTCTGCTGTGAGCACAAACATGGGTCTGTGCCAAAGAGGACGAGGAATTCTGCAGCCACAGCCCCTATTTACACACACGCCCCATGCAGTAAATAGCAGACATATTTTAGTGATAGATTTGTAAGAAACACCATTCAGCAGTTGAGGGTTGTATTATAATTAAAATGGGTTAACACATCTGCAAACAGGGATGTGCTTAATGTTTTCCAGATGGGATCTGTTCAAAGCATTAAGACAAGAAAAATGGAGTGTCAATTCGTTTAATGAGGCACTACCCCAGGCCTGTGCTCCAAGGAAAGTGGTGGCTGCCTTTTTTCCCCAGGGCCATGAGTGATGCCCCGGACACAGCATGCTTGTGGTAGGAATGTGGACTTCAGTCCACTTTCCTGAGGTTCTGGAATTCCCGTTTGGATGGATGGGGTTGCTTAGTCATAAACGAAACATCTACAAATGACTAACAGCTATTCTTTATTGACCACATCTTCTCTGACTTGTATCTGTTTATCCTTAAACATTTCCTGAATCCATGAATCCTGGATGATCTACACTTCCTCTTCTTCTCCATCCCTCCCATTTTCTCGTCCTGATTCCTGTCACTTGACCCTTATCAAAGCCACTCTGCTCAACTGCACCTATGTGAAGAGATGGCACTTAAGCTGAGTTCCCCAGTAGCACCTGCTACAGAAGCTCCACACCGACATCCTTTCAGTTTTGTCACACCTGTTGTCTCTCACACCTTCCTATTTTTTTTAATTAAAAAAACTGTGGTGAGATACACATAACATAAAATTTATCTTTATCTTTTTTTTTTTGAGGAAGATTGGCCCTGAGCTAACATCTGTTGCCAAGCTTCCTCTTTTTGCTTTGAGGAAGATTGTTGCTGAGCTAACATCTGTGCCAATCTTCTTCTATTTTATGGTGATGTCGCCACAGTGTGCCTTGACGAGTGGTGCTTGGTCTGCGCTCAGGATCCAAACCTGTGAACCCCGGGCCGCTGAAGCGGAGCGTATGAACTTAACCACTAAACCACCAGGCTGGCATCAAAATTTACCATTCTTACGTCTACAGTTCACTGGCACGAAGTACATTCTTACTGTTGTGCAGCCATCACCACCATCCATCTCCAGAACTCTTTTTATCTTGCAGAACTGAAACTCTGTACCCATTAAACAATAGCTCCCCAATCACCCATTCCCCCAGGGCCTGGCAACCACCATTCCACTTTCTGTCTCTATGAGTTTCCCTCTCTCTGAGTTTGACTACTCTAGATACCTCATATAAGCGGAACCATACCGTATTTATCCTTTTGGGGCTGGCTAATTTCACTTAGCATAGTATCCTTGAGGTTCATCACATCATAGCACGTGTCAGAAGTGCCTTCCTTTTCAAGGCTGAGTACTATGCCATTGTACATTTACACCACCTTCTGTCTATCCAGTCACCTGTCGATGGACGCTGGGTTGCTTTCACCTTCTGACTTCTGTGAGTAGCGCTGCTGTGAACATGGCTGTCCCTCCCTCCCCGAGATTTTGAGTCATTCTTTTACCTCATGATGTAGAGGAGCTGGAGGGACCCCAAAGGCACACAAGGAGGGTCAAAGGGAAGAGAAGCAGTCCTATGAGGTCTGGGTAAAGGAACAACAGAGGAGTCTAAGGAGTCCCAACTACTCTTCTCAAGTGTATAAAGAGTTTCCAATAGAAGGATTTTGAGCAGCTATTTCTTTATGACCACAGAGTGCCAGGGAAGAGAAAAGGAGATTAAATGAAGGCAGAGGAGATTCTGTTTGGAGCTGGGAAGATAACTGTTGATGTGATTAACCCTCAGAGTGAACAACGGAGGGAAGCTGCAGAATCTTTACTCTGGATAACCATCTATTCTGGATGGGTTAGACATTTATGAGGTTTATTAGTCACGGTCCCAACAGGAGACAGGACTGAATTACAAAGGAGCTGTTTGTAAAGGTGTGGGTAGCGTGTAGGGGAACCAAGAGCAATGGTGTAGTTACCTGGGGTTGGTATCAGAAGAGCTGTTAACACCTCTAAGGGTGAAAGGACAAGAGGGAAATGGTTACCCAAACCTGGAAGGAGCATGTCACATAGGGGAGGCGGCACTGGGTGGAGGGATGCAGCCAGCCCAAAGAATCTTGTAAGAAGGGACTGAAGGGATAAATACGTCACCTCCCCTCACTCCCCGCACCCCCTCTTCCGCTTGTGTCTCCTTTAGCCATGTCACTCAGAAGAGGAAGCAGGGAGCCTATTCACGTCTTCTGCAAGGGGAGCCCCTGGGGCGGAGAGAAGGATGGAGAGGCATGGAGGGGTGCCAGGAGGATACCCAGCACACTCAAGAAGGTTCGTTTCTGAGGGGTTCTTCCAGTTCTGGGTTTCTTCGATTTTTCTGGAACGGGAACTGTTTGGAGTCTTTTTAAACCTTGTTACATCTCTCCAAATTTGAAGTCCAGGCATCTGCATCTAGTAACTAAACACTCAAGAAATAATAACTGACAATAATGAAGAGAGGCTGAGGAAAAGAGAGCCTGGCAGGGGGTCCGGGAACTATTTGAGTGACAAAATCAGTAATGATAGATTATAACCCGTAGAATAAACTAAATATCCATGAGTCCACATTGATGCAAATAAATAAGTGGAGAAGGGGAAATATGCCCCCACAGAAGATTTCCCATTCTTAAATGTAGAAGGAATAGGGAAATAGTCACCCTCAGTACCCCATAGTAGCAACTGTCCAGGCAAGATCCACCAATGGATGCTGAAATTAGTGGACAAAAGTTTCAGGAGAATCAGGATATTTGCATAGTTCGAAGTATCACCTGCGAGATATTTATTACCTACAAGGGAAAGACAGTAACCTTAAGTGGAGAAGGTTTGCAGAAACCAGCTTCACTTGGGGCCAAAATTAACGTCAGTGATAAGTCATATCCAAGTCTTTTGGTGGAAACACGTACTCATTCTCTTGGGCATAAATTACACCTTGGAGAGTAACTGCTGAATCATCGGGTAGCCACACTCTTATTTTATTAGAAGCTGCCAAACTGTGTTTCAAAGCGACGGTACAATTTTATATCTGCTTCTGTAGTGTACGAGAGTTCCAGCAGCTCCACGTTGTCACTAACACTTGGTATTGTCAGTTTTCTTAATTTTAGTCATTCTGGTAGATATGCTGTGGGATCTCATTGGGATCTGAATTTGCATTTCCCTGACGACTAATGATATGAGTATCTTTTCATGTGCCTATTGATCATTTAGATAGCTTCTTTCGTGAACTCTCAGTCCAAGTTTTTGGTCAATTTTCTTTCTCTCTTTCTTTCTAAAATTGGGCTGTTTCTTCATAATACTGATTTATTGAAGTTTCTCTCTTCTGGATACAGTACTTTGCCAGATCTAGAGATCAGTTTGTGAAGATTTTGCCCCAGTCTGTGCCTGGCCTTTTCACTTTCTTGATGGGGTCTTTTGATGAACAGTTTTAAAATTTGATAAAGTTCAAATTATACATTTTTTATTTTGTGATTAGTGATTCGTCCTAAGAAATCTTTGTCACCTTGGTGTCATGAAGAATTATCCTATGTTTTCTCCTAGAAGCTTCATCATTTTAGCTTTCACATTTGGGTTTACAGTCCATTGTAAATTAAATTTTATGTGTGACATAAGATGGTGGTCAAGGATCATCTTTCACCCCCACCCCCCATCTAGATATTCAGTTGCTCCAGGATCACTTATTGAAAAGATGTTCCTTTCCCTATTGAATTGCCTTGGCACTTCTGGCAAATATCTTGTGTGATGATCCTATCTGTGTATTTACAGAATCTCTGTGCAGTTCCTTTTATCTACGGGGCATCTTCAGTGTCCAGACACATAGGATAAACTTTTTTTTAATTTGAGTTCGTAATAGTTTACATCATTGTGAGATTTCAGTTGTACATTATTTCTTGTCTGTCACCACGTAAGTGCTCCCCTTCACCTCCTGTGCCTACCTTCCCTTGGTAACCATTGAACTGTTTCCTTTGTCCACATGTTTGTCTATATTCCACACATGAGTGAAATCATCTAGTGTTTGTCTTTCTCAGTCTGGCTTATTTCGCTTAGCATAATTCCCTCCAGGTCCATCCATGCTGTTGCAAATAGGATGATTTTGCCTTTTTTATGGCTGAGTAGTAGTGCATTGTATATATACACTACATTTTCTTTATCCAATCATCAGTTGATGGGCACTTGGGTTGCTTCCATGTCTTGGCTATTGTGAATAGTGCTGCAGCGCACATAGGGGTGCATATGTTACTTTGGATTGTTGATTTCAAGTTGTTTGGGTAGATACCCAGTAGTGGGATAGCTGGGTCATATGGTAGTTCTTGAGGAATCTCCATACTGTTTTCCATAGTGGCTGCACCAGTTTGCATTCCCACCAGCAGTGTATGAGAATCCCCTTTTATCCACATTCTCTCCAACATTTGTTATTTTTAGTCTTAGTGATTATAGCCATTTTAAAAAGCATAAGGTGGTATCTTAGTGTAGTTTTTATTTGCATTTCCCTGATGATTAGTGATGTTGAACATCTTTTCATGTGTTTATTGGCCATCTGTATTTCTTCTTTGGAAAAATGTCTGTTCACATCCTCTGCCCATTTTTTGATAGGGCTGTTTGTTTTTTTTGTTGTTCAGTTGTGTGAGCTCCTCATATATTACAGAGATTAACACCTTATCGGATACATGATTTGAAAAAATTTTCTCCCAATTGGTGGGTTATCTATTGGTT